TGTAGTGCTCAGAAGGTGGTGGTGTGTCTGCTCAGGCATGTCCGACTCTTTGCGACCCCATGGACTGTAGCCCAACAGGCTCCTCTGTTCATGGGATTTCCCAGGCAAAAGTACTGGAGTGGATTGCCATTTGCTCCTCCAGGGGAATCTTTCGACCCAGGGTTCGAATCTGTGTCTCTTGCATCTCCTAAATTGGCAGACAGATTCTTTACCACTAGCGCCACCTGGGAAGCCCACAGTGTTGAGAATAGTACCACACAATGAAGGACTGTACGTCCCAAACATCACTAGTGCCAAGGTTGAGACCCCTGGACTAAGTGAAGCAGTGCATGCTTTCAAGGAAAAAATAGGAAAATCTATTGCACGGCCCTGGTTATAGCCAGTATATGTCTGTGCGGTCACATCCTCCATGACATGACACTGGAAAGGGAGGCCACGCGGCCTTTGTTCTCCAGGGGCCGCAGCAGCATCCAAAAAACTGCTGACTGCTGGACTGGATGACTCAGAAATGAAGGTGCTGGCTTTCATTTGCTGTATCACTGAGGAATGCCAAAGGGACATTGCTCCTTCATCATCTGTAGCAATTTTCTACCCAGACAATACATTGGTAGCTTTGCCTTATAAAAAAGACGTGTTCCTTAAAAGTTACGTTTAATTGTATTTTGTATTTTTAATACAGTTAGGAAATTCAGTAAAAACTAAGGGGTCAGTGAATCTTTTTAGAGTGAAAGGTCCTTTTTAGTAAAGTCCTATTGTCAAAGAAAAGAATACCTACATATTGCATTTTTAATGTAAATATTTTTTCCTGGACACTACATTTTTACTACAGAGCTCATAACTCTTACGTGAGAGTCTCTCTCCCTCCTTCCTTCTCCTGCCCTTGTTCCTTTTCTGTAAAGGGAGGGTCAGGGGGAAAATTTAACACTACAATCTCTGAATTTGGGAAAGTCATCGATAAGTCTATCCACTTATACAGGTCAAAAGATGCCTGCTTGGTTATAGATTGTTAGAAAAAATAGGACTTGGTTCTATTTTGAAATCATTCATTTTTTATCTTACACTTTTTTTTTTCCCCAGTTAGTGACCTTTGGCTAGAAAGAGCAGGTGTACTTGGTCCCTGCGTCACCCCATGGGTGTTTGTTGCACCAGAAATATCTGATAAGACTCAACCTCTCCACTCACAGTGGGGTGGGAGAGGGGTATCAGCAGAGACAGGGCGTGGTACTGCAGGAACCCAGGGCTGTCTCCTTATCAGCCATTCCCTGGGGGAACATCCCTAGGTGTGTAAGTCACGGACTAACTCAGCAGGACAGAGGAGGCAGGAAGGAGGAAATTTATTAAATAAAGTTATCATTCATCGCCCTTCGGTAGTAGGAGGTGACAGAGGTGTGACCCACCGAGGCCAGGCCACCGGGGACGAGCCGGCCAGACCAGAGAGGCGCTAGGACACCTGCATTTGCCACTCTCCCTGGGAAGGAGGGAGGGGTTGAGGCCAGGGCGATGATAAGGATGGCCCCACCACGTGGGCAGCCCGGCAGCTCCAGGCAAAGAAGGCAGGTGCTGGCGTCACAGTGGGAGCTGGTGTACCCCCTTGCCTGCTCCTCGAACCACTTGCCATTTGACCGGCCCTTCCACCTACATCCACCCGTTTCCGTCTGAGAACCCCACTGACTAGGAAGGAAGTCATTGTGAGTACCAAGAATATAAATTCCATGCCCAAGGTCACTCAGAGGAAGATTTGAGATTGGGACACAAGGATGCTGACTTGAAGCCCCGCGTGTCCTTCTGTGATCACACACTACTCTCACTTAGGAAGGCAGGCCTCAGGTACAAGCGTTGGCTGGGCTGCCGGGAGTCCTGGGTTCTCGTCTCTGCCCTGGCTTTTACTCACTGTGTCCTCGTGAGACAGCTACTACTATCCCCCTTAGAACCTCAGTTTTCCTCTCTCTGAAGTGACGGGGTTGATCAAAGTGCCCTCAGGTCACCACGGTGGCATAGGTGAAATCAGGCTGAAATGAAGACTTGCAGGAAGGCAGCAGGTAGCTGCTGACACTGAAGAAGCCATCTCAGCTGTGTAATTAAGTGTTAACCAGGTGCCAGGAACTGTGCAAACACTGTATCTGTGATCCCGTTGGAGCCACACAGCGCCAGATGAGGTACATGTTAATGGAAACCCAACTTAGCAGATAAGGAAATTGAAGTTCAGGGAAGTGAAGTAACTTCCTCAAGGTCACTCTCTTAGTCAGCTCTGGCTGTCATAGAGAATACCACAGACTGGATTTATTTCTTACAGTGCTGGCAGCTGGAAGTCCCAGGTCAGGGCTCAGCAGGGCTTGGTTTCTGGCCAGAGCTCTCTTCCTGCTTTGCAGACGGCTGCCTTCCTGCCTCAGTGCTTACATAGCCTCTCCTCCGAGTACAGGCCGGGGAAGAGAAGGGGCTCTCAGTTGCCCTTCTTGTTGTTGTTCAGTCGCCCAGTCATGTCTGTCTCTTTGTGACCCCATGGACTGCAGCACGCCAGGCCTCCCTGTCCCTCACCATCTCCCGGAGTTGCCCAAGTTCATGTTCATTGCATCGGTGATGCCATCCAGCCATCTCATCCTCTGACACCCTCTTCTCCTCTGCCCTCAATCTTTCCCAGCATCAGGGACTTTTCCAGTGAGTCATCTCTTTGCATCAGATGACCAAAATACTGGAGCTTCAGCATCAGTCCTTCCAGTGAGTATTCAGGGTTGATTTCCCTTAAGATTGACTGGTTTAATCTCCTTGCTGTCCAAGGGACTTTTAGGAGTCTTCTGCAGCATGACAGTTCAAAGGCATCAATTCTTTGGCGTTCTGCCTTCTTTACAGTCCAGCTTTCACAATTGTATGTGACCTCTGGGAAGACCATAGCCTTGACTATATGGACCGTTGTTGGCAGAGTAATGTCTCTGCTTTTCAGCACACTGTCTAGGTTTGTCATCACTTTCCTGCCAAGAAGCAATTCATGGCTGAAGTCACCATCCGCAGTGATTTTAGAGCCCAAGAAGAGGAAATCTGTCACTACTTCCACCATTTCCCCCTCTTATTTGCCATAAAGTAATGGGGCCGGATGCCATGATCTTAGCTTTTTTAATATTTAGTCTTAAGCTGGCTCTTTCATGCTCACCCTTCACCTTTATCAAGAGGCTCTTTTAGTTCCTCTTTAGTTCTCTTCTTAAGAAGACACAAATCATATCAGATCAGGACGTATCTTTATGATTCCAATGAACCTAAATTACTTCCTGAGGACCCCATCTCCAAATACAGATACATTGGAGGTTGAGGCATCAGCATAGGAATTTGGGGGGCACACAGCTCCATCCATGGCAGTCCTGTAGGCAGAATGTGATTTGAATGTGGACTGGCATCAGGCCATCTCACCCTGCCTGCCCTACTAACCACTGCTATGCAGTATTTAGGCCAGATAGCTGGGCTGGGGGTAGAGACTTCTGGGTACAGTGAAGCTTCTGTCTTTTAATCAGTAGATACAGATTTATCGGATTTAAGATAGATACAGCTTTAAGCTGGTAGATGCAGCCCCTCCCCACACACTAGTGCCTCTCCCTCTAAGTCCCTGCCTTCTCTCCTGGGTACCAGGGTGGGTGGGAAGATCCTCCTTTAACCAAACTTTCTGAATCCTGAGCCAATAGCAGGCCAGGGAGTGGTGCTCCAGAGACCATCCCACACCCAGGTCTGAAACTCAAAGAAAAGTAGGAGGCATAAGGCTGAGCCCTGACGACTGGCTCCTTCACAGCCATCGTTGAACCTGTGTGGACACTGCCGGTGGAGCAAAATCACACAGGCCCAGTTCCCTGGGCTCCTGGGATGAGGTCCTAGTTGGTTGCCACTCACGTGAGGAAGGATGAGAACTTAATCCTCACTGGCAAGCCACCCACTGGAGCAGTTATAGTTGTGCTTGTCAGTTGAAAGTGAGAAAAGTGTTACTCAGTCATGTCTGACTCTTTGCAACCTCATGGACTATAGCCCGCCAGGCTCCTCTGTCCATGGAATTCTCCAGGCAAGAATACTGGAGTGGGTAGCCATGCCCTCCTCCAGGGGATCTTCCTGGCCCAGGGATTGAACCCAGGTCTCCTGCACTGCAGGCAGATTCTTTATCATCTAAGCCACCAGGGAAGCTTGTCAGTTACTCATTATTAAAGGCTTTGCAGTAAAAACAAGGCATTTAGACTCCTACAGGCTTCCACCAAGCCAACAACATCATCCACCTGGAATGTCTCCTCTCCATAAATTACAGTATTTGTGTGTTTTTTGTTTTTCTTAAAAAACACGATCTCTCCCCCACTCTCTCATGCTTTACTGTTCCCCCGTGTGTTATGAAGCTAGATACAGAAAGGTTTGCGGGAGTTTCTAATTTAAAAAAACAAAACTCAAAAGAGCAACAGACCACAGTCTATCATTCAGAAGTTGAAAATATGCCATTTTGCCACTTTCCAAAGTGTCAAATAAAGGTAGGGAGTAACAGGGAACCACTTGGCTCTTGTGAGCGGAAGTGAAGGCCACATTTTCACAGCTGTGACACAGGGGTTGTTGCTGGTGGTGGTGGTGTTTTCAGTCGGCAGGGCACTCCACTCTTATTTTCTGTCACTTCACCCTAGAGTCACTACCCCCACCTCTTTCTCAGTCAAGCTAACACATGGAGCTTCTAGAGCTGTCCATCATAACCATGATCACAAAACTGCTAACTGACTGCTGACTCCCCTCCACCCGGAAAACATAAGCCTGTCTCCAACTAGTTCTAATCAGAAAAAACAAACAAACAAAAACAAAAAAACACATGTTTTTCAAATGAAATTCAACCTTGAGTCTTTTGGAAAAGGAAAGAACCCACTTCTATGAGTCACATCTCTTCGAGGGGTCAGGAATTAAAGGCTGTGACCTGAGCTGTGCAGAGGTCTGGACTTCCAGCCTCCTGCCCTGCTCACTTCAACCTTACTCATCATCTCCATGGTTGGCTCTTGCAGGTGTGAAAGCTGTGGAGCTGTTTTCCATGCTGAATGCAAAGAGAAGTCTGTCCCCTGCCCCCGATGTGTCCGCCGAGAGCTGCAGATGAAGCAGAAGTCTTTCTGGCGGAGGTTGAACATGGACGAGAGCCTGGAGGAGGCTTGCAACATGTTTGAGCTGTCCTACCAGAACACCTGACTCAGCAGGAGTCCAAGGCCGGGCGGTGACCTCTCAACAATCCATCAGCCCCAGTGGCTTCCAAACTAGACAGTTAGACCCCTCCGGGAGAAGTTAACGTCTCATCCTCAGCTAGATATATATATTTATAAATGTACATGCACACATACCTATACGTCCTGTTCAGTATAAGTCGTTGTCTTAAAGGTCCATGGAGTTTTGTGGCTCACGAAGTTACCAATAGCGGGATTACACTTAGCCATGAATTTCAGCTGCTTTGCCCCCAAGCCAAACGTGGTTTACACACAAGGCTTTATAGTTCAGACATTGTGGGGCTCTCAGGAGCCATTTATTACCCAGGACATAGGAGAAAGCATTTTCTCCAGAAGAGTGCTTTGAGTTATTTTTGTGTTATTTATTTTTAGCCTTCACAGAGGATGAGGTAACTGAGGCAAGCACCCATCATCAAGTTTCATAAGAAAAGCTTCAAAACACAGCAGTGACTCCTGGATCCTTCCAGGAGTCCATGTCCCGGCTCTCACCTCCGTGTCTTCGCAAAGGCTGGGATCCCTAAGCTGAGTTAAACAGCTCGGGAGTCAGGAGCGTGAGCTCCCTCTGACAGAAAGCGTGTGTCTCTAATTTATCAGCGGAGCTAGATAAATTGTTCTGAAGTTAATCTCAGAAAGCATTTTTCCTGACAAGAGACCTCAGTAACCTACATGTTGTCCGTCTGTTTGCTGGTACGAATCCCAACACCCGCCCAGAGATGTGACTGTATTTGCCAGGCTGGAAACATGGCCCTGAAGAGTAGTCTCTTAGGAGTTCCATGGGTGACAGGATGATTTTTTTTTTTTAAATGGCTCTGACTGGAGGAAATTGCTTAGGATTGTTAAATACATTAGTTTGTAGACCAGGAGGTCGGGTGTAGAGTACACACATTCCAAGAGAGGATCTGCAGTTTTCTTTTCACAGAATCCTGTGTGGGTAGTTTCCACCTATTCATTACACTTTATTTATTTTTATTGTTCTTCATTGCCCTTTCACTCTGACCTTTCATTTGTCAATGTCACCACGTCTGCTTTCATACTTTCTTAATTGTTTTGAAAAATCAGAGCACCTTGGAATTTCACAGTACCAACTTTAGACTATGAAGAAAATACCAAACTGACAAATATAATTCAGGAATTAAATCTAATATTATTTAAATATATATATACACACATGCATCATTGCCACCGTGAAGTGAGGTGCAAAGTGCTAAGCTAATAGGGAATAAAAGTGAGAATGAGTTGCTTAGGCACTTGGCCAGGGGTATTCTTCCTCTGCATCATCCTTTTGGCGCAGTGGCCACGGTGACTAAATTGGTAGATAGCTGGGCACCGGAAAGCATGGCTCCCATTCCTTCCACCTTAACTCTTTCCAGAACCAAAAACTAAGCTTATATTTAAGCAATTCTCAGTAGGTTATATGAGAAGATTCTTACCGTTCCTCTGAGCAGATGCCTTCAAAGCCTCCATGGTTTAGTAGCTACACTCCTAGCAGGACCTAGAGAACCAGTGTTCCCACAGCCCATGGGGACGGTTAACCCCACTGCTCCTTTCCCCACACCTGGCTCCCTCCGATCCCAGCTCACGATGCTTCTGTCCGTTTGGAGATGTGACATTTCAGACTCACTTCTGTGCAGACTGTTGGGTACGAGCATTTCACCTCTCAACTCATACCCATTCCTTTGGCCCCATACCACACATTTCAACGTTAATAGCTCAGCACACTCGTGCATTTATCTTCTGATTATACAGTAGCTGTAGCCAAGGCATGAAAACTTATTAAAAGGCCGGGGCCCCATTCATGAGATGCCTTACGGTGCCTTTTACTCTTAGAAAAACAAGTTGACTCCCTCTCCCCGCCCCACCCCACTCTATAGAAACTGTTACACACGAAAGAAAAGGGTGGAAGATCTCAAACAAGCGCTTGGCCAACAGGCAAACAAATTTGATCATCTCCCCTTTACTCTTCCCCTTCATGAAATACAGTATTTATATATTCCAGCCTCAGAGAAGATAGCAAAACGTGATCTTTCACAAGAGAATTACAGACCTGCTTATTATAAAACAGATGTGCTCCAATGGCAAAGTGCCTTCTCCCTCCGCCCCCAGCTCCCTGTCCCTGTAGCTTACCTCTGCCTTTGCTGTAATTAATGCATCTGTGACTCCGACTGTCAGCAGGGCCATCCCCAGCACACTGCAGTTGGAGACCCGGAGGACAGGGCCACCTCCCCCCTTCCAGCATGTTGGCTGCATGTACAGAATTTCCTGTCCTGTCTCACAGGCCCCAGGGTCAGACCCACTGAGAGTCAGCGTGACACTCTGGGTCTGTGCTCCCGAGGCCTTGGCTTTTACCAAGGTTGTTTCGAGGCCCGGCAGAATCTTGGCAGTCCCTGTGAACCTCTAAGGAGACCTTTCCACCCGCATCGTTTGTTGCTTATTTTCGAAAGGGGAAAAAAAAAATAGTAAATGTGCTCTCACCATCAGCTACCAGAACTGGAAGCATACCCCAGCAGCCCGTTTCCCTCCTCTTTGTGAAGCCCCGACAGCCTGGCTGGTGCCAGCCGCAGGCCTACATGACACACGCAGCCACCAACCCGCAAACCTGAACGGACAGGGCAGAGCCGGCTTAGCAGTTGGGTCTGCCACGAACATTCAAAATTGCTGTTTTCAACCCAGGATGCCTTAGCGCACACCTGAACGCCGTTACTGTTTTCGACCCTAACAAATTACTTGGTGCACTGTAGGTAATTGTTCCACTGCTTAGAAACTGTCGGAACGAAAGCAGATCTGTGGATTACCACCTCCTTAAGACCTAAGCTAATACCTGCTTTCCCTCGTGGTCCATTTTTCATCCCACATTAAATATCTCATACATAAAGCCCAGGAGAAAATGGCCCATTAATCTCCTAGAGCTGGCAGCCGACTCCAGGGAACTTCTTTTCTCTTGAAAGGCCCCTTCCCTGATGTATCACTTGAGGAAATCCCTCCTCACCGTGCCAGAAACTCAACTGTGGGACAGTGCAAGCCTGGTGAAATGCTGGCATCTCACCCTGCAGTAAAAAAGCCAGTTCCCAAAATAGACCTCAGTTTGCACCACGGCAGGAAGGCCACAAAGTACTTAAAAAGCAGTCAACTGGGATGGGAGTCGTGTTCTTTCCAGGGTGGCTCTTTCTCCAAGTTGAAAGCTCTGTATGTGAAAACCATGTAAAACTCCCGTCTTCCCCTTTGCCTCATTGCCTTTTCAGGGGACTGTATCATGGTCGTCTTCATGATCATTGTGCTTAAGAGTAGTCTCTCCAGGAGCTTTAATATTTGATGAGCTGAGAAGGCAATCACTTTTGGATTCTTCCAGACTAGGCCTCCACCAAGAAGAGACTATCGTGAGGACTTGGGATTTGTGGTTTCCAGCCAACCCAGCGGTGTCCTTCGGACCCCCGCTGAGGGACTATGCCTGGCTTCCTTCCGGCTGCGCGGAGAGCCGAGCTGTTCACAGCGGTGTGGCTGCTGTCGGCCACCTCTGCTAAGCTGGAGTGAGTGCCCTTGCATGGGGTCCCGCCTGTGTTTGTCTCTGCATCTGTACGCCCTGCACACCGACACTGGATAGCTTCTTCCCATGGCTTCTCAAAAAGTCATGACTTCCAGACCTGTGGCTTTGTCTCTACCCATGAGCCAGAAAGGGCCACACATAAATCACTGTATCAGGGTAGGACTTGCGTGAAGCTGCACTGAGCACTTTCTGCAAAGAGAGGCATGACCTGAGGAAGCCAAGATCCACTCGGCTCCTAACTTAGGGTTAAGCCAATGCTGCTGTTGATGTGTGGGGGCAGTGTTCCTCACCTCCACTGACCGGCTGTTCTTGACTGAAGTAACTAGACTGTGAAGGAAATCTTCAGGTCCTAATTCTAATACTGCCTGGAGTCAACACAAGGTGATTTTCCTTTTTATTTTTTTTACTTCTCCCGGTAAAGAGAGAAAAGTGCAGTTCCCTCCGCCCCCTCATTGCTTGAGTTTCCTGCCTCGCTACTTTTCTTCCTCTAAGATAACGTGAGAAAAGTAGAGAGTTGGCGCAAAACTGAAAGAAGCCAACGTGCCCTCGCTGGCCTGAACCGAGTCGTTGGAACCACTCTCTGTTTTCCTTTCCCTGGTCCTTGCCAACACCTGGGCATTAACAACAGCTCCGAGTGTTGTGTCCTCTGCACCGTTCTTCCAGTCCTCAGTCTAGTAGAACTCACTGCCCTACTTCACTACTTGAACCCAGTGACAGGTGAACAAGCCCTGCTGAGCTCATCTAAACAGACAAATGTGATTTCTATCATGGGGGACAGTGTTTCAACAGTGAAGTACCAATACCCCCAAGCCACTGTCAGAAGTCCTTGACAAAAGTCAGAAGAAAAGTGTGGAACACTGTCTCAAGCACACCCACGGCCGTCAGGGCTTTTATTTTAAATGGGCTCCAAGGGATCATGCGATAGAGCCCTTTCCTCCTGCAGTGGCCTCCAAGGTGATGGAAGGCACTGTTAACCCCGAGTGAAAAGACAGCTGCTGATTTGCTTGGATTTTCCCTGTAGAGAGAGATGCCATCTTGTTAGGAAGGTCTGCAGTGAAGCCAGTTGTTACCCAGGTAGAAGATTCAGGCGCTTATGGCAACTCTGCACAGTAAGGTACCCTCCTAGGCCGCTGAGCTGCAGACCAGCGTCTCTTCCCTTCCCTTGACAGTCCTTGCCGCAGTCCTGAGCCCAGATTCAGGCCTGGTAAACTGGCTGGTGGACCTCTGGGGCTTGTGGCTCCTCACACTGACCCTCGTATTCATGAATTTTTCCCCGTAGGAGTGCCTTACAGTACTGCCTCTTGCTTCTAGTCTAGCCTAGCAGACCCACTTGAAGCCTGCAGGGCCCTTTGCCTCAATATGGATCACCTTGCTTCTTCCCTGCTGGCTGCTCTCAACACAGGCACGCTTGGAGCCCACATATTCCATGCACATGTCAGACCTTTCACCTTCATTTAACCTGGTGCCTTAACCTCATGAGTACAAGGGTTCCTGCTGGAAACACACTGTCAGAGCAGACTAGTGGAAACACTCCTTGGCGCCATTGACACTAAACCAGGAATCACAAAAGATACGACCACATAATGTTTTGAATCTGTTTTATGCTGTTTCTCAAATTACTCCTTTTGTTTGCTTGCTTGCTTTTCATGAACCAAACTCAGGGGAATGTCATGATGTCACCAAGGCCAATGGGTAGAGAAATTACACTGGTTATTCAGATTCGAATCTGTAAAGTCAGTGAACTTAGCCTTTTTCAGGTGAAAAAAATTACACACACACAAGGATTTTCTTTTCCTTTAGTGTATAAAGGGTTTCTTTTATTTTGCCACCTGTCTTCCAAGTGGGAAGTGAGAGGCCTCTTGGATGGATTGTGGTGAAGACATTTCTACATGGCGTGGGCAGTCCACCAAACTATTACATTAGGCTTTCACCACCAAAGGCTTAGGTTCTGATTTTGGTCACCTCTCAGGATCCTATTGTGAATAGCCTATCCTAGAACATTCAAGGAGAAAAAAAAAAAAAAAATCTGTCTTTAGAGAACAGTAAAAGGAGAGGAAATGTGTAGGTTGCAAATGAAGAGTATCAAACGTGGGGTGCGGAAGTCTTTGCACAACTTGTTCTTAACGCTCCTGGGTCAGATAGATGTCATTTTCCCTTATTTCTGTTCATGCTATACAGAACTGTCTGAAACGGGGCTTGGGCTATTACTCTGTCACTATGTGTTGAGCTATTTGTAATATCTACTGTAACTTATATATGTATTGTTTCTGTTTTTTGGATTTTATCGCCTTTTGTTTGGGCATAAGTTATCCATAGTTTTGTTTACATCATTTTTAAAAATATCAATAACTGTAATAATAAAAAAAGAAACTGTGTTGTGGACAAGACCCCTAGTTTTTATGGTCATCTGTCATATAATTTAAGTGCACCAGTTCCTGATGTATAAAGTTATCTCTCTCTCAATAAACAATGCAGAAAGTACTTTCTCTTCTCATAACAACTCCATTCAAATGCTGTTTTTGCGGGGGTGGTGAAAGCCCAAGATGAGCGCTGGATGTTAATTCAAAGTCAAGATTTAAACTTTATTGAAAGTGAGCTACTGGGATCTTAAAATAGTTCTTAAGATTTTTACTTTTCTTTTTTTTAACTGTAGTTGGTTTACAATGTCAGTTTCAGGTATACAGCAAAGTGATTCAGATATATAGATATATAAAACAGCTCTTAATATTAATCTTATAGACTTCATTTTTTTCCTAATTTCTTCAACCTCAATATTCTCATCAGCCCTCCCTATGCTTATGAAAAATATAGTGAAACTTTGAAAAAATTGCAAATGTGGTGGTCTAGGCCTCATTTGCCAAAACAGACCATGACTTCTTTCTGATCTGAGACAAACCTGCCTCAGCTCCCACACAGAGCATCTATCCCAGCTCTTCCCCAAGTTTTCATCACCACTGCACTCTCCAAATTAGAGAAGCAAGTGCCAGATGGTGGGCCATTAGACAAGGCCACTGGTCATTCCTGAAGACCATGAAGACTGTGCTTTGAAAGCAAAGAGCGAAAGTAGAGGGGACTTGTCTCTGTGAGGACAGCAGCCCTCTGGGAGCCGAGAGGTGATGGAAAATACCTACACGACCTTCCCCAGGGCTGGCCCTCACGGCCCCATAAAAAGACCATGGGCACAACTATCCACTTGGAACCTTTCAAAAGCACCATTGAAATTCACCTACTCAAAAACATTGAAGAGACCAGAAAAGGTGCTTCTGGTTAAACATTTACCACAGGTGGACTCTGAGCCTCACTCTCTAGGACACACCTAAACAAGTTCATGCTCAGCTGCCCCTCCTCCACCCCCAGGAAAGCGACGAGCTCATGCCCATTCCGTCCCAGGAACAACTGGACCTCATCTTCACAAGCAACCTGCCACAATCCACAATAAAAAGAAACAAGTTAATGTTTCACTGAACCAAACTAGACACAGCGCAGCCAGAGCCCCGATTCCTGTGATTTACAGGACTGGTTAGCCTTCCCCCAGTGGCAGCAAACCTGAGTGACTGGATAACTGCAGGGAGTTTTCGCATTATCACAAGTCATTTCCAAAGGGTGGAAAGAGACACCATTCTGTTCCTCTCTGCCCACCCTCAGGAGATGTGATCAGAATCTCCCTGAATCATTTCCAGTCCTGTCCTTTGATGAAGCCACTAGATGATGACTTTAATTGGTGGTTCCCACAGAAGTCACACAAAAATACAAGCAAAACTCAGGATCCCAGCACAGAACACTGAATCCAAATTTTCTGGATGGGACCTGAGTATTTGTATTGTTTTGAAAGTTCCCTGGGTGATCCCTGTGCATCCTGAAAGTTAAAACCCACTAGACTGAATGAAACAAGTTTCCCTGAAATAGCCAAATGCTTGGGATACTGGTAGTCCACAGTGGGAAGGATGTCAAAGGTATGTAGAGGGACTGAGCAGTCTTAGTTGCCCTCCAGCTCACAGCTGTTGTCTCCCTTCCTCCCAACAGACACCGAACAGATACAGTACTTTGGAACCTGCTGCTCATAGATTGCCATTGTTTTCATAAAACCTGAACTTTATACCCCCTTCATTTTCTTCCGGGGTGTGTTTGTGTCTATTTTTCCAGTATATACCATTGCCAGACAGCCGGATGAATAGAAGTCATGGCCACAGGTGACTAAGCTGGCCTACACAGACAGTCCTGTACCCTCCTTTCATTTTTTCATTCATCCTCATTATGCTGCAATTGTCCTCGAATGTATGCATGTGACAGTCTGCTCCCTGGTCAGGCCCACCAGACAAACATGAGACTTATCACTCCAGACAGTGGTGTTTAAATGGAAAATCACTAGGCACTTTTTGCCCAGAAAGGCCTGGGAGATTCGGAAAAACCTGAGCCGTGTCTGGATTTGCCTTGGCTTCGTGGAAAAACTATATACCTTAAATAAACCACAATCATTCTGAATCCAGGCATCTTTTGAACTGACAATCTTCAAGCTCTCCTGCCAGCTGCAGGTGAATGGAAACTTAGTTCTTCCCCTCGCCTCCTTTTATGAAGTCAGTAACTTTGATGATGACAAATATTCCTCATTGATGGAGCACGTATACAATGCTCCATTCCCACAGTGCTTACCAGAGAGGGAACCTCCACAGCAAAGACTTTACTGAGAATCGTTGTAGAAAGACAGTGTTTTCCGAGGGCAGGGATGCAAGTAGAAATGAACTTGGGACTCATTCTAAGCAACATCCCTAAAAATTACATTATTGACTTGAGTGGGGCCAGGTTGGGGGTGGGTGTTTAAAGTTGATTTTTATTACTGTATTGGATTCTGATTGGAGTAGAGGATTCCTTCCCCAAGAGAACAATGGCCCCTGGTATATAATACTCAGGAAGCCCAAGGCAAAACCCACACAGCAGATTCATTTATCCTCCCTTGTTTGCATCTATTCCTTCATAGCTTGTATAGAAAGATCCAGCAGGAAGAACAAACTGTTCCCACAGCTGAGCATACAGAAATTCTGATTTATGTGCAATGACTTACAATTTACCTGGACAATCAGGAGATTCATAATAACCACCTCGCCCCTCACTCTATCTCATATTCCTCCATTAAGAACTATTGGTTTTAAGCCAATCAGTTCAAGTTCATGGGTTCATACAGTATTTCAGATCCTGCCATACAATCTCAGGCAGCTGTTGGTCTGGGGGAAATTCCTCCAGCTTTTATCCAATCCCTTCCAGACAGCCTGATATGAGAATCACTTTCCATGGCTTCTGTGCTCTCCCAGGACGGTCTGTTGTTCTGAAGCTGAAGAGCTGCTATTAGCACCATCATTTTTTCAAATGAACATTGAGCTAAATTATCTCAAACGTATAAAAGGAACATCTCTCACTGTGTTATGATGGAAAATTACCTTCCAGATTACAAGACTATACAAAGCATATATTAATTTGGGGCCCAAGGACATCCAAATTGCCTTAGCTTCCGCGCTGTATTGTGATGGCACACTCTTAATAATGCCGGGTTCCAAGGAGACCGCAAGGTGCATGCTGTTAGGAAAATAAACCAGAATCTTTCTCCATTAGGATCACTGCACGCATACTCAAGCCCAGCTGGAGGTATTTTGCTCTGAGATTCAAGCCTTTTGCAGAGGAAATAAATTCCAATTGCACAGGCAGGGAAGTGAATGTGAATTCTAAACTGGGTCAAGCTCACCAGATGGCTTTCTCACTGCTGCCCAGGAGTGAGGCCACCAAGGAAGCAGCCGCTGCAGCCCCAGTGCCCAGAGGAGATGTCTAATGACAGACATCTCAGGAAACACTTCTTGCTCATGCAAGTTCAATTCCACACCAAGGGGAAGGGGGACAGCGGAGGCCCGGCGCTGACTGACGGAGTTTGCCAAGCACCAATACTTGTGGCAAACGTATATCAAAATCAACATGTGGTCCAACAACCAGCAAGTCCTGGGAACTAGCTCTGCCCAAATCAGCCCCAAACCTGTGCCCCTGGAACCCCAATAGTCAGCTCATATGCAGCCCACCATGGGGCTATCTGGAGGTTAAAAATAAGCTTTTTTAAAAATAAAAATTATTCGATGTTTGCCTTGTTTGTTCCACCTACTCTTGTTTTTCTTCTTCTTTTTTTGAGATAATATCACAGAGCCAATCTCAGACATAATGGTATTTCATGCTGATGTGCTTTAGCACACATCTACAAAAGATGTTTATTTTTCTTCTACCGAGTCACAATGCCAATACACACTGAACAAAAGTAGTAATAATTTCTTGTTATCATCTGCTGCTCAATCCCAAATCAAATTTATCTCAGGGTCCCCCAAATACCTTGTTTTGTTTTGTTTGTTCTGACAGTAAAGATTTTACAAAATAAGGTGCTCCTCCTGAAGGCTTGCCACAGTGTAAAGGGCTATGGCTCCATTCCAGCTTCCCTTTCTCCTTCTCTAGGGAGCAGGGGTCCCAGTCTCCTCGGAGGACAGTACCCCCTGCCCCATTCATGCCAGCCCATGCAGCCAGCAGACAAGAACATATGAGAGTGAGCACTGTCAGGGTGCATCATCCTTGACCTCTCCATTCAGAAAGCTGCACCAAAGCTGGAGGAAAAGTTGTCTTTAATTGAGAAAAGGGGGCACTTCAGGAGTCTGCTGCACCCCCGACATGACGATAGTGACTTACCAATGGATGCTGAATACCTGACTAATTGAAAGGACTAGCTCAAGACACAGGGTTGGTTCCTAGAGAACTGAGTGGAGACAGAACCCTTTATTTGCAGGGAGGCAATTTCTCCCAGTGCAGAGGGTCCTGTCTGTTCCCTGGCACCATGTTGGGACCCAAGGCACTAGCTCCTGAGCCAACACGTTGGGGGTCCCCAGGGGTGAGTTCCTTAACTTCTTACCCATCCGCTGAGATGCCCTCACTGAAAGGACTTTAGAATTAAAATCCACTTTATTCAATTCTTCCACTGGAGGAGCATTTCACTTTAAAGTATACAATATTCATGACATAAAATTAAGAGGCACAAAAATTGATGAGAACAGAACTCTCCAAGACAGTCTTCCCAAATAAAAGACTCTATCTAGATATTTGCTAAAGCACATCATTGTTTGCAGTGTTGTTAGTTGGGCATATCACTGATCATCTTATTTTTTAAATCAGATATAAATCACTGATTAAGACTGTTTTTTAAAGTAGGAAAGAATCTAAGATTATTTCTCATTATGGTCAAAGCTATGACAAACCTAGACAGCATATTAAAAAGCAGAGACATCACTTTGCCAACAAAGGTCCATATAGTCAAAGCTATGGTTTTTCCAGTGGTCATGTATGGGTGTGAGAATTGGACCATAAAGAAGGGGGAGCACCAAGGAATTGACGCTTTTCAACTGTGGTGCTGGAGAAGGCTCTTGAGAGTCCCTTGGACAGCAAGGAGATCAAACCGGTCAATCCTA